GTTATGTGTTCATCAGTAGAGTCCCCCTTCCTCCTCTCCTCTTCCCGCCTTCCCCCTACCCTTCTGGTATCGCTACTCCCATTCCTGTTCCTGGATTCCGTGTGTTATGAGCTTTTATCTCTTATCTGTACCTGTGCACATGCTCCGGTCTAGCCCGAAATGAAAGGCAGGACTGGGGTCATGATAGTGGTGGGTGAGAATGCCTCAAAGAACCATCAGTGTTTCATCAGTGCTTTACTGTGCCCAGGTTGACTCATGCCTTCCTTGTGACCATTCTGTGAGGGGACGTCTCATTGTCTACAGGTGGCTTTTGAGTCTCTGCTTCAATCCCCCTGATTCTCAACAATATGTTTTGTTTCTTTGTTTGGGGCCTTCTGATACCTGTTACCAGGTCCCAACCGACACCTCATGAGTGCACAGTCTGGTGTGCTTCTTCTCTGTGGGCCTGTTGCTTCTCTGCTGGATGGCCGCTTGTTTAACTTCAAGCCTTTAAGACTGCAAATGCTTTATCTTTTGGTAGCCGGGCACCATCAGCATTCTTCACCACATTTGCTTATGTACCCATTTTGTCTTCAGTTGTGCCAAGAGGGTGAGCATCACAGAATGCCAGGTTGTTAGAACAAAGTGCTTTTTCATTGAGGGGGGTATGAGCAGAGGCCCAAAGTCTGGCCACGACCTCGGTGTATTGCCATATAAATATATGTACTTAGACCAATACCTCTATTTTTATAACTAAACGTATTTACACACCTATGCTTATACCTCTATCCATAACTTTGCTTCCTAGATCATTCCTCTTTCCTTTTACCTTCCTCCTGCCCTATCATCACACTTGCCCTAGACTGATGATCCCGGAGGAATGTAGGGGGAGAAGGAGGCGGGGGAAGGGAGCGGTGAGCAAACAATGCCATAGACAGGGGAACAACTAGGGAATTAAAATTAACGACAAGAAGAACTTAGCGATCCTGGGGGTTTGGAGCAACAGTGTTCTAGCTCAGGGAAATTACTAAATAATTTTCAAAGGAAAAAATTATGGAAGCAAACCATTAATGGTAGTAACATCAAGATTAAAGGGGTGGAGAGATACAGTTGTTTGGAGGTGGAAGGTAATGTTTTCACTCATACATACTTCTTTATTATTTGAACTTATTATATGTTATTAATAACTAGCTAGTTGTTGTCATCCAGTCATTCCCAACTCAAAAAATTCTACTCCACACACATGAGGATCCAAGAGGTGCCATGAATTGTCATCATCTATTACTTTGGGGGGTTTTAAAAAAAGACTTAAATAAATAAAACCGGGCCAGCCCAAATCACGGCAGAAGCATTACATACAAGAAACAAAAATATGTTGGCCCTTTCTCATCGCGGCATGAGACTCACAGGCGTGGTGGCCAGCCAAAAGGCGGCTGTAGAGGCTCATGGTCTGGGGCAATGGCATTATATAAACCGTATATGCCAATAATAAAATATTACATGTTTTTCAAAGACCAGAGAAAGAAGCTGTCCGAATCACTGATTGCTAATAATACACAGCTAGAGGACTAACTTAGGTGATTGAAGCCCTTTGTGGGGCTAGTGCTCTTGCCTTAGGGGGTAACTGCTATTTGTTGCCATTGTTTTGCATTTGTGCCCCACTTACTGGTTCTGTGTTCTGCTGTCCACTCATCCATACTGTCAACTTGGAGGGACACGGATGAAGTTAGGGTGCACGAGGGCGGGAACTGGAATCAATAGCCCTGTTTCTACCTATAAAAGAAGCTGAAACCTAGTGCGGGCTCAATAAAGACTTGCTGAATGGATCCATGTTTGGCTCCGGTCTAGTGGGGAAAATGGATAGGGAAACACACCATTTGAAGGGGTGTTATGGGACGAGAGGGAAAGAGAGGGCATTATAGACTGGTGCAATGATGGAAGTATAACAGTTCAACAGATGAGGCTCTTAAGACTCCTGGGGAACCTATAGAGCATGTGCTGGTGTTTGAACTGAATGTTGAAAAGCCGAGAAGCCTGGCTTTGTAAAGATGTGGGAGCAGTCTGTCTCCCAGGCAGGGATGCAGCTGAGCAAAGGCACAGCGTCCGAAGAGAACGGGGCTTATTAAAGAAAGCACAAGTCCTCCTGGAGTGATTCAAGCGTGGGTGAAGGTGGCTGGAAGGAGGGGTGCATCACACGAGACTCACGGAGCTATGCAGAGAAGTTTGAGTCTCACCTGAAGAGACCTCTTTCCAGGAGACGAAGCAGGGTTGTATTTTTATAAGATACACACGGTGCTTCATGCTCAAACAGCAGCTGAAAACTTTCTGTGCTCCACAAGGCTCCACTGCATTTGATTCTTAAGACAGCCGAGAAATATGGGCACTGTTCTATTGTCTCCAGTTTGTGGTTGAAGAAACTGAGGCACAGAAAGGCTAACAATTTGCCAAAGGTGATTTGGGGGAGCTGAGATGCAATCCCAGCCATTGGGACTCCATAGTCCATGTTCACTCTCTTGTAGTCTTTCCTCAAAAGCATGTATTTCTCTCGCTCTGTGTTTGTTTGAAACTACCTTATGTGTCACAAAAGAATGTAAGTCTGTTTTTATTCCACTTTTCCTCCGTTGGTAACCACTTCAGACCAGTGCTTACATCTGTTGGGTAAGGAATCTGGAGGGTGTTTAAGGCTGAACATGTATTTGTTTTTTCTGTGGGAAAAAAAATCAAGGAAGAAAATGGCCTTGTAATTTCTTCCACCCACCAACCAACCAAGGTAGAATGGCGTTGGTCCTTGCAAGTAGAATGCCCAGCCGTCCGCCTGCCTCATGCCCACTCCCTCGGCGCCTGCTCCCCTCCCACCTTTCCGGAGGACCGCAAGGCAGATGCTCATCTGGGGCTCGAACCTGAGTGAACCAGCCGAAAGCTTCTTGAATTCTGGTTACACTGGGCACGTGGTTGAATTTTGGTTTCTGCACGTTGGTGATTGCAACGAATAGGTAGAGAGGCAACAGTTGCAAAACCTACAGATCTATTTTTTGTGATACAAGTAAATATAAGAAACGCCTCTCTTTAGGATCACGGTAAGATGCTCACCGCAAGCCTGAGACAATGAAGTAAAGGTCCCAAAGGTCTGATTGTCATCCCCTCAGCGACGGCTTGCCCGAAAGGTGTGATTTCAAGTTGAGGAGGTCTGAGACGGTCCCAGCAGACTGGCCTCAAGTTACAAGTGGTAGGAGGACACGGACACACTTCCTGGGCCTTTGCCTTTTCTTTATTTAAGAAATAATGGAACTTTCCTGCAACTTTTTGAAGCATGGGGGGGAGCCAGGGGAGGGGAGATGACTTTTTTTTAAATTTGTCATTTACCAGTTTTACTTTCCCCTTTTGCTTGTTTCTTATCTGCCGCCTCTTAACCACCACACTCTCCACACCCAAACCTGGGAAAGCTAGAATTAGAGACAGAGGGAAATTAGAGGCGCGATCTGGGATCTGTGAGAGCCGGAGTGGCTTGTCCATTTATGTTGCTTCACTTTTCATTCAACAGGGTTTCTCTCTGGGGAGGGACCGGTCTCCCAAGCAACCTGTGAACACGGTGCCTCTTAAACCTTTTCCCCTCTCCGCCCCCTCCTTTCACCTGACACGTTTGCCACACTGGCAAGCACTTCCAGAAACATCTGAGTTTGAATTAATTTTTGGTCTTTGTGTGTTCAGAAACCTTATCCTGTTGACCGTGTGTGTGTGTGTGTGTGTGTGTGTGTGTGTGTGTGTGTGTGTCTGACTCCTATTTAAATTATACAACCCCATATTGGGTCGAGGCCCACTGTTGAAGGAGCTTTGGCTCCGCGCCCCACTCCACCCCTCACTCTGCTTTGAGCAAGTAACTTATCCTCCTGAACTTTTACTTTTCTCGTGTGTCAACTCCCACAGAGGTTTGAATAGTTCGTGTGTTAACGTTTGAGAATGTGGTAAAGCAATTGAGTGCTAGATTTTAATGATCTATCAGTGTTTTTGCATTGAGTTAGTTTATGTGGATTCTGATATTCCCCAGTAATTTTGAGGAAGATGCATCCTGTCTCTCCAGCAGCTGCTGCAGGATTGTGTTCAGCGGAGGCTCAGAACATTTCCACCGAGCAGGAGTGAGGAGCGTATGTGCGCCTCAAAAATAGATGGGAACATTTGGTTTTCAGCGTCACATATATAAATATAAAACCGGAGGACCTGTAATAGTAAAGCTTCATATCAGCTGCCCTGGTGGCTTATATGTTGGGCTACTAACCACAAGTTCAGCAGTTCAAAACTACCAGCCGCTCCACAGGAGAAAAAGGAAGCGTTCTACTCCCGTAATGAGTTGAAGTCTTGGACAGCCAGGTGGGCAGCCCCACCCTGTCCCATAGGTGGCTGTGAGTCTGAATTGATTTCGATGGCGGTGAGTTTGGTCTGAGTGAGTTTGCCATCAAGTCCTTTCCAGCTCACAGCAGCCCATGTGTGTCAGGATAGGACTGCTGCAGAAGTGGACAGCCGGGCATTTCTTCTGTGGGGCTTCTGGGCGCAGTGCATGAGCAGCCAAACACGTTAACTGTTTGCACCACCCTTGGACTCTAGTTCCTTGCCAGCAGTGAACTTCAAAAAGCCTTTGAGGGGAAAAAAATCCCATTACTTTTCATTTCCTTTTTTCCAGTAACTTTTTGAACAACCCCCCCCCCTCTTATGTCCCATGGGCTCTCTACCAAGGACCCCCAGAGCTGCCTTCCCCCACTCCTCTGCAGCACTTTCTAGGCTAGATGCATACTTCAGCCCAAAGGGGGCGGGCAGAGGAAAGGAATGTGAGACTTGGCAGGAAGTGTGATGAGGTATCTGCCTTAGCAAAGGTAGGTGACTCTTCTGGCAGGGGCTCAGCGATGGTGGTAATCAGCCCCGCTTCAAACAACCCCTCCACTCCCTAGACCCTCTGCTCCATCGCCTCCACAGGAACAGGAAGGAGGAAGGCTGGTGTTGACTGACAGTGGACTCTGCTTCCCTTTCAGCGGACCCTCTGGTAGGCAGCATCGCCACGCAGTACATGACCAACAGAGCGGAGCACGACCGGATGGCCAGACAGTGGACCAAGCGGTACGCCACCTAGGGGCCCGCTGCACCTCCCCGCCGGACCTGTGCAAGCACATTCACCAAGTGCATCAAGAGCCCTGCCTCCCTCCCAGCCTCGTTCTTATTTTGAATAGCTTTGAACCGTTCTGTGATGGTATGTTCTCCATCCCCCGCCTACTTACTCCTCCCCTCCCGGTGATGCCTTTTTTGTTGTTTTTCGGTTTCTTAACTTGAAAGATTTGAATTTGTTTGTTTGTTTTCCCCACCTCCAAATGGATGGAAACTTCTGTTTTCAGTACACACAAAAAAAGTTGTACCTGTAATAGTAAAAGCTTTCTTAGAAAGCTTTGTATTACTGTGTGGTTTTCTTTGGGTTTTGTTGTTGTTTCGGTTTTGGTTTGGTTTTTCCCTTGTTGGTTTCTTTTTCCTTTGACGCAATCTTTGGGAATTCTCGTTTCTACTTCGATGTAGTGCTTAGGTTAATTTTTTGTACTGAAGTCTCTCTTGGTGGGTGCATGCTACTGGGAACAAGTTTTTGTACAAAAGCTTAAATCAGAATCACTGTGCATTACTGAGACTCTGTTTGTCACGAGCCTTCCTTCTGTCCCCCACGCAGAAGACTGTTGGATTGAACAAAATAATATGTATTTTGATTTACTTCAAGTGCTTGTAAATTTCTTAGGGACCCATCACGTTTGACTGTGGATCAGTTGATGTACACTTGTATTATGAAAGCACTCAATAAATCACTGTGGCGGATACCTGTGGGTTCACTTTGTGCCCTGGTGACCTGGCTTGGCTAACTCAATCACATGTTAAAGGGCACGTTGGTTTTCTGTTTGTTAAATCGCAAGCCTCTACTATTTCTTTGCAGTTGCATTGATTGGAGTATGGAATTTCTGCAGACCTGTAACTAGCCTACTGGCTTCATGGTTGGTTCGGTAGTTAGCTGTGCTTTCGCATATGTCCTTTCGCATATCGGCTGGACAGGGATTTCTCACAGGCAACCTTTCTCAGTGAAACCTTTCTCTCCTCACCAGTCACACAAGGCAACTCCAAAAATAACCTTCCAGGGAAAGTGAAGTCTGGCCCACTCATTGTGTCCACCCACAGCGCATGCACTTCTCTCTTCCTTTTCTCTGAAATTGCGATGATGATACGCGCCAAGTTCTGCTTTGTCTTGTTTCGGTACAATCTGAATGGCAGAAGTAACCCTAACGGTACCAGTTGTGGTCAAGACGCTTAGGCCCTCTGGCTGTGGCCTGCAGGCTATTTCAGGCATGCAGCTGTGGGAAGCAGCGGAAATATGTGGGTGATAAAGTGTGAAAAACACAGCGGCCATCTGATGGATATATCGGGTGTGAGAACCAGGCACACTGGGAACTCCTGCCTCCACCAATTAGTCTCCTTGAAGGAGCCATTAACATCTATACTGCTAAATAGTAGCATTTATACGTAAAAATCTTTCACCTCTACATATTGAAACATTTTAGGTCTATGGTTCAAAAAGTGCTCTTTTTTTTGTTGTTGTTTTCCCGTTGTTAAAAGAAATCCTACAACAGAGTTAAATATTGGAAAGGCCACATTTAATCTAAAGCACCTGGCAACATTTTTGTTCCCTATTTTATATCAATGTTATCGTTTGTCTCATTTTAAAGCATCTTCTATTGTGCCAGTTACAACTATTCATCTCTGTTGTTATAGCAGAAAAGGGCTACAGACAGTACACCAATTCATAAGTGTGGTTGTAACCCAATATAATCATATTTACAAAAACAGCCGGTGGCCAAGTTTAGCTGTTGTGTGGTTGTTTTCCAACCCTTGAGTAGACCACCCTAGAAGAAGAAAAGAACTAAGTGAATGTCAGAAGAGATTCTGAAAGTTGCTCCTGATCATAAAGTAGTGAAATGGAAGAAATAATGAAAACTGAACAGAAAAGTTCAAAGCACTAGAAGACAAAGCAAAGTATTACAATTAAATGTACAAATACTGAGTGAAAAAAATGAAAAGGAAGAACACACTCCGTATATATTAAATTGAAAGAATAGAAGAAAAAAATTCAAGCCTTTTCTTGAGTTGTGGTATTGAAGGATTGCACAGGTAAAATATTGACTGATGGAGGAAACATCAAAAGAAGACAGAAGGAATCAATAAAATCACCATTATCAAGAAGAACTGGTTTATGTTCAGCTGTTTCAGCTGGATAGCAGATGATCAAGAACCAGTGGTATTGAAGGAAAAAGTCTAAGCTGCACCGAAGGCATTAGCAAAAAACAAATCTCCAAGAATTGGCAGAATACCACTTGAAATATTTCAACAAGCTGATTAAACTTTGGAAGCACACACTCACCTATGTTAAGAAATTTGGAAGACAGCTACCCAGCCAATGGACTGGAAGAGATCCTCATTTGTACCCATTCTGAAGAAAGATAACAGAATGCTCAAATTATAGAACTATCATTAATTATCACATGCAAGTAAAATTTTGCCGAAGATCATCCAACACCAATTGCAGCAATGCTTTGACAGAACTACTGGAACTTCAGGCCCCATTCAGAAGAGGACGTGGAACAAGGGATATCATTGCTAATGTCAGATGGACCTAGACTGAGAACCAAGAATACCTGAAAGATGTTTACTTAGGTTTTAGAAGTATACAAAGGCATCTAACTGTATCATAACAAACATTGGGTTACCTTGAGAAGAATGGGAACTCCAGAACACTTTATTGAGCTCTTGCAGAACTTGTACATGGACTAAGAGGCAGTTGTGAAAACAGAACAAGGAAACCTAAATCCTCATAACTGGACCAGCAGACAATGATGTGATAAAAAGAGAAAAGATTACAATTATCAAAAAATCTAACAATTTGGGCAAATTTGCTGCACAAGTCTTCTTTAAAATGTTGAAGAGCAAGGATGTCACTTGAGAGGACTAAAGTGTCCCTAACCTGAGTCAGGGTATTCTCAGCACCCTCGCGTGCATGAGAAAGCTTACCGGTGAATAAGGAAGACCAAAGAAGAATTGTTCCGTTGGACTGACAGTGCTGGTGAAGACTGTTGAAAGGCCCATGGACAGCCAGAGAACAAACAAATATTTCTTGGAAGAAGTACAGCCAGAAGGCTCCTTAAGAGCGAGGGTGGTGAAACATCATTGCACTGGCTTTGGACACGTTATCAGCAGAGACCAGTCTTTGGAAAAAGACACCCTGCTTGGAAGAGGATCAGTGGGATGGATTGGCACGGGGACTGCAACAGCGGGCTCACACACTGACTGCGAGGGTGGCACGGGACGGGTGGTGTTCCATTCTGTTGTGCAGGGCATCACTGAGGCCGAGCCTACTTAGCAACACCTGACGGCAGAGTGGAAGCAAAGAAGAGACAGGTAACGAGGTTCGAATAGTCCGACCCGACTGATTCAACGGAGCCGGACCGACACGGAACTGCCCATTTTGTTGTGTTTCACGTGCCGTCATGAGTAGCCTGGACTACATACACGTTGCCAGCACATCACTTTCTCATACCACCCCCTCCTCCCACAAAGACCTACTGGACTTACAAGGATACTGATTTATAAAAAGGCTACCGTACCAGAAGCCAAAGAATAAAATGAGCTATTCAGCTTACATCGGCAACAACTTAGGATGGGAGTGGCAGAACGGAGCCCCATCGTAAGATTGAGGACTGCCTGTATTTTAACAATTCTGTCTTTAAGCAAGAAAACTGCAGTGTAAGACAAGGCGATCACTTTTTGAAAATTACTCATAGTGTTTTACTGACTAGACTTTTTCACCACAAAGGTTCATATTTCTACTTCAAGACTCTAAATTTTGAAATTCAACCCTAAACATTGAACCACTGGGATGTGAAATTTTATGAATCAATCTCTCTCTCTCTCTCTCTCTCGTTAACTTTTGATGGATTAAGCCCACAGTATTAATAGTGACTTACACAGACAATGTTTAAATTCATTTTGCCTTTCTCTTGAAAGGTCAGCTCCACTGTACACACATTTTTAATAATACATCCAAAATATTAAACTTTATCCCTCCTGTCTGGTTGGGCTAGGGTGTTATGGAGATGATAAGCGTCCTCAGGAAGTCCTGTCATAAATGGTCATTTGCTTTCCTCTACACCACTTGGGTTTTTATACCAACCTATGATATGAAGAGGCCACAAAATTTCTCTTCACGTTTTTATGAACTCTAAAGGCTTTGTGACAAGCAAATAAATAGACCCTGCTGTAAAAGGTAAAAGCTGGAGTGAGCCTGGCACCTCTAGATTCTCAGAACCCCAGTCATTGCGCTTGGAAAGTGCAGTCCCAGGAAGCTTCCAAAACTGTTTGTAAAATCAGATGGAGGTGGAAGTTAGCACCCGAAAGCTAAATAGTCTTGCTAATAATGATGCAGAAAGTATTTTAAATTTTAGGAATGGTCATGTACCTCATATTTCACTTGTTGCACCAATCACTAATTGTGGCTTTTTCAAAAGCAAAAAAAAAAAAACAAGTGGGTGCCAATTCATCAGGACCCGATAGGACCGGGTAGGACAGCTCCTGTGAGTTGCCAAGGCTGTAACTCTTTCCAGGAGTAGAAAGCCGTGTTTTTCTCCCTTGGAGTAGCTGGAGGCTGCGAACTGCCGACCTTGCAGTTAGCCCAGCTCATAACCACTAGGCCGCCAGAGCCTCCAGCTGTAAGTGGCTGGATGGAAGGTGTGCAGAGCTGAGGTGTGTTGGTCCAGGAAGGTGAACTTTGAGGTGATGATGTATTGATGTTAAATAACTCCAAAGACTTGGTTTGTTACAAAACTGCAAACACACGAAACAGTCTTCACCTGGTTTTTGGTTTCTTGGTAGAAAATGCAGGGGTCGTCCATCTTATTTCCAAGGTTTGGAAGTAGACTTAGAAGTTTGGAAATCATGAAAAAAATCAGAGCATTACTGAGAATGCACCGTGTACTGGACATGCTAATAAAAAGTTAACCACAGAAAAACCTCAGCCTAGCCATCAAGAGAACACGGCAAAGCCCTGCTTTCATTTGCTTGTGCTGTAACGGCAGAACGCCCACAATAGATCACTTCAGCAAACGAGCATTTCCTCTCACAGATGAGGAGGGCCGGAGGTCCAAATACAGAGAGCCGGCTAGGGGAAGGCTTGCTCTCCGGGTCCACTCCAGGATCAGATCCCTGTCGCCTTTCGACATCTGTGGGCTCAGCGTCCCCTGGACACCTCCATGTGTCTTGACCTCGGGCTTCCCCTGGACCTAGGAGGTTCACAGAGCAGAGCTCCTGTTCCACTGCCCACTCTTCTCTCTTGGGGGTGGCAGACCCCTCTCGGTCTGCTCCCTGCTCTTTCCCCACATCAGATCAGGGGTGGGCCAGTGTCCACGGTGTGACACCCCACCCTTAATCCTCTGACTGGTCCAGCACATCCGACTCATCGTGGAGGATCATTGTGTGTACGCCAAACTACTGAGAAGCAGGGTGCGGCCACACTGGCATGCTTTGGGGAGACACGGTTCCATCCCGGACGGTATCCACATGAGATCCCCACCCAAATATGTGACGTGAGAGCCCCTGCTCAACGATGAAACCACACGCGCTTTTCTTCTTACTAGTAGGTCACACCGTGGAGACAGGTTGGCATCATGCTCAGGCTTGAAGTACGATACCATGGGGAGGGGGGGGAATGTGGGGCCCAGTGTGGGGCCCACCCTTTGTATTAGATCGGAGGCCCAAACAGGAAGAGACAGAGTTCTCATCT